TTGTTGATTTTTTCTTCCTATAGAATATAGAATGTAGCATGGTAAGAGTGAAAATTGTAATCTTTTACTCTGTAGCTAGAGCAAGTGTTATTTTCTTAATTTTTTTTTTGATATTCGTGAGTGTCTGGACCCACCCATGATAGTTGATGTCTTGATAAACCATTCAGCAAGAGCAAGTGTTATTCACGTCAATAATTCACTTCTTGGTGGTTGATGAAACCAGATGAATCATCTGGGTAGTGGAATTTTGTTAAAATAGTTTATCACTGTATTTGTGGCTAAATATTTTAATAAGACTTGTAGTGGATTAAAGATCAAATCAAATAGAACATATAAAGCTATAAAATGGTGCTGTGGGTAAAAGAGGGAAAGTTTAGAAAATAGTAAATGGGTGGCTGAGAATTGTTTTGGGTAGAAGTTAAGCTAATGCCATTTTAATTTTCTTTTAAACACAGATTATCGCATAAACAATGTCTTAGGAAAAGATTCCAAATTTGAAAGATACTTTATAGCGAGAAAGAGCCAAGCAAACACAGAATATGGAACTCGAAACGTTAAATGTATAGAAACAATGACAGACCCACAATAGATGAGAGTCATGTCAAATCTTTTGCGTTAATTGACATATCGTTTTAGATTTGTCATGTCAACTTTCCGTTCAAAATATTAGTGAATGTCTGCTCAAATGATTATTTTGAAACTTTTTTTTTTATTTTTTATTTTATTATAAATGAGAGTCGGAGTTTTGCTTCTCAAAGTCCAGGTATTTTTAAAATTTTTATGAAAGCTCAACAGAATGAGTGGTTTTTAATTACACTCATCTCAACTTCACATTATAAAATTAAAAACAGAGAGAGAGAGAAAGAAAGAAGAAATTCTTTATATTAAATTTGATCTTCCTTTACACATGTGAGAATCATTCTGTGATTACAAGGAAGATCCAAATCTGATATGCTATGCTTCAGCAGATGGTTGAGTGGAGAGTTAGAATGACAGATGAAAAGCAGAACTCAAGCTTGGGTATTTCACATGACAGACATGAGCTGTCATCCCATCTTCACAAAATGGCTACATTTTTTTATCTTCTCTGGTCCACTTCTGCAATAATCAAGATTTGTTTTGAGTTAATTAATCATGATTATACATCATTAGTCAAACAAAAAAGTGCTTGGACTGAAAGATCCATCTTTGTCTACTCTGTTCCTGAGCTTTCTGAACACAAGGCTGAAACAAAAAAAAGCAGATCCCAAAAGTTTAGACATACAAAGCAACACAAACAACACGAACCCAAGTGATTTGAGTGTCCCAAATTGTCTCAATTTGACAACACAACCTTGGATTTTGAATGTTTTATTCTTTTAGACATGGAGTGGGGGGGCACAAAATTTCTGAGCCAAATGGCTTGAAAGTCTACTCAGTTGTCTCTAAATGTTCTCTGAAAACTTTTAACATATCAAGGAATGTGACGATTCCGATCAAACTGCAGTCATCTTCAATAACCCAGACGTAGTTCACACGGTGTGCGATCGCCTGGATCATTACAGCTACCAAGGAGCTCCTTGGATGGCAAACTATGGCCTCTGCACGACGGGTGATCCGTGCTGAGTAGCTTGATGATCTTCTGTACTTTCTTGAGCTCGGCGATGGCGAGAATTCCTCATCTGATGATGAAGAAGTGAAAGATACAGACCCAACTGAGGATGGTGAATTGGTGAATTCCTCCAGCATTCCTTCCAAGTTGCTCTCTTTCAGCCTAGCCTTCACTACCTTGACAAGATCCTCTGGAGGGCCACCGCAGTCTATGTAGGCCATCAGGTCTCCCGACGACAAGGTCATAATCGCAGCTGCAACAGCCTTGTCACACCCAGCAAGGGCCAAGGGCGAGATCTCACCGATCAAAATTCCTTCGCCATCGACGACTGCAACCGAGGTTTGGTTGGCGATGGAGCGGGAAATGGCTCCGATGGCAGACGAGGCAGGGGAGTGGTAGTTCACTGACAAGGGATTGGTGCAGATGATGCCAAGGGTGTCAAGGGAGAGGGCAGCCATGGGGGAAAAGAGGCCAATAGAGCTGAGAAGATATCTAATTATATCTTCCTGAGTCAGCCAGCAGAATTCACGGCCGCCATGGATCACATTTGTGGAGTTTTTGAGCTGTTTTCTTCTTAGCTTAGTCTTGATTGGGACAACAAGATTTTGAGCACCTTGGAGAACCAGATCAATGGCCTCTAACAAGCTAGATTATCAACACAGAGACTTCAATTAACTTCAACTTCAGGAATTGCCCAATTCCAACATCACAACCCTACTGGGCTCTTTATGAATTCAGAATCATATAAAAAGTTTCACAAGAAGAGTAAAAGAAAACCGTATGGGAGGGGACTGCATTTTTCTCCTGAAGAACTAAGAAGAGAACAAAACAAATAATTCGAAACAGAGTTTGAAAAAAAAAGGTTGTGTAACTCCCATTTCAGATCAGTAACTGATAAAAAACTTCAGAAACGCAATAAAATATAATCAATATCTAACACAAACATCAACAGAACTCCAGCAGGCGTTAAAAAATCTTTCAAGAACTAATCAATTAAGATTCTGTGAAAAGAATCCCCAAAATGAGAAAAAGAAAAAGAGTGAGATCCAGAATTTTATCAGAATCTATACCTAGCAGAGGGCTCCAAGTGCATCACGATTGCAGGAATTTGAGGCAAAATTTCAGCGACAGAAGCGCTCAATGCGGCCGAAGGAGACAACAAATTCTCCTCCCTACAGAGATAGCAAATCACATCCACCATACACAGCTTCCCGATGCATCGGCAGCACCCGAAATCGCCACCGCCACCACCACAAGTACCATCGCCGCAACCGTTCTTCGCGAGACGGCAACTCCAGACGCTGACGAAGTAATCTTCGGAGAATTTGAGAGCGAGCAAGGCGTCGGCGACGGTGGCGGAGAGGGAGAGCGGCCTCAGCGCGGGCTTGCCGAGACACAGATCAGAAACGTCATGCGAAAAAAAGCTCACTGCCATACAAAAGCTAAGAGGAAGAGTTTTCAAGAAACCCCCTAATGGTGGAAATTTTCCGAGGAGCTGCGGCGGCCGGCAATGGCGGACGATCGGAGAAATGGGAGGAAGATTGAGAAGAAAAGGGAGTGTAAGAGTGGAATATTTATAAGAGATTTAAAGAAACAGAAAAATAAATAAATAAATAAATAACAAAAAAGTTATATATGAGTTGTACGGTACTCAAAAGGGTACCCAAAAAAATATATATTAGAACTGGGGCCCACTTCTGTCTTTGTCATTACTTTAATGTAATATTATTATGAAAATTGATATAATATTAATATATGCTATAATATGGGTCTTTAAGGAAATAAAAAAGGGTATGAATATAAATGGTAGGTGGTGGTGGTGGTTCATTTTTCTTTTTTAAAATTCCTTTTATAAACTATAATTTTTGGGCAGTTATTTAATTTTTGTAATTGTTACTATTAAAATTATATAGTTAAATAATCAACTCTTTCTTGTCCCGAGTTGAATTGAATTGGATTGAAGTATTTTCTAGATCAGATTTAATTGTTTTTTATGAAAAATTTATACCACTCAAATAACTCTAATTAAATAATGAAGTTAACTTAATCCAACCACAAAATATTTGAATTGAGTTAGTTCGAGTCATTTGAATCATTTTTCTCAAGTATGTTTATTTATATGGTGAAAACTTACTTTCTAAGTTCTTAGAAAGTTGTTTTAAAAAGTTGTGGGAGAATAAATAATCTATAAAGATATGAATGAAATAGAATTAAAATAAATATATTCGTATATAATTTTTATGGTAAGTGAAACAAATTGTTTAAAAATAATAATAAGTTCCGGTGATTCGATTTAGCTAAATTTATTTTAGGTGAAGCTTTAAATCTACAAAACTCATGTGTTTTAACCCAAATAAGTTTATAACTCAAGGTTGATCGAGATTTTCTTATCATTGGGTCTTTTGAACACTGTGATGCCAAATATGTACCTATTTTCGTTTTAAACTTTCAATTTCAACCTTTTGTGATTATGAAAACTTACTTTAAAAAAACTATACATAAAAAGATAGAAATTGATTTATTGATTTATTATAATAATTATTATTATTTATTTTTGGTTTTCAAGGAACCAAATTTAAAAAGACCTAAATGATTAGAGTTATATTAAACCTAAAAGAAATAAAAATAAATTTACGTACTTTTTTTCCTTAAAAGTTGAATGGATGGAATCCAATCAAATTAATTGTTGTCTTAATAGAGTTGTTTTTTCTAAAAATATAGAGAAGAAATTCAAAACTATAATTCAAGAGGAAAGATCCTCACTCATCTTTTTTTAATCAAATACCTCACTCATTTGAATTATACTCAAATTTAAAAAAAGAAAAAAAAAGGAAAAGGGTGTCGAATGAGAATTTTGATCAAGGCCATGTTCGAAACTGAATACTAGAGGCACTTCCTCTTAACCATTCACTAGAGTTCTTTAATCGAAAGAGAAACGAGATTGATCCAATGGCTCATTTTATTTGGTAGATACTTTTTGGWATTCTTTTTTTATTTTTATTTTTTTTAATTTTAGTTTGGCCTCCAAGTTTAATTTTTAGTACTATGTGTTTGATATATTTTAGTTATAAATCCCTTGACCTTTTGACATGCTCTTTTGGTGAAAGAAAATTGGATGGTTATGTTAAAAATGGAAAGACTTTGATTGGTTGCAAAACATCGTTATCAAATGGTTTGATTATGATTTTCAACCAGAGTTTTAGTCGTTTTTTAGTATAATATATTGGAGGTGGGAAATTCAAATTCATGACGTTTTGATCGGACAAATGTGTCTTAACATGCCAAGCTATGTTCAGATTGGCAAGAGTTTTAGCCTTAATGTTTATAACCAACCACCATTTATATTATTCTTAAAATCGTAAGCCATGTCTTTTTCACTAGTGATTTTAGGAAAATAAAGCTTTTTTTTAGTTGGTTAGAAATATATGTCAATTATCGTTGAGCTATGTTCGCTTCAATTTAGGAAGATGAGGTGTTGATCGAACAACGATTGATTTTTATATTAATTGTTAATGTCCTCTTTAATTGGACTTTTGTGATTTAAGGTAATTTCTACCTACTAGGTTTAATAAGCTGAGTTTTCATTGTGTTTTGATTTTGAATTAATGCACAAGAAACACCACTACTACATATATTCTACTTGTTGAAGATTTAACGGTTGGCAGTGATGATGCGAGAGTTCACGAAAATGTCGTGATAGCTTTTCGTTAGAATTACTATGCTTTGTCACGATATTCTTTTGTCAATTTATGCAAACTCTATTTGAAAAGAAAATGTCTGTTTAATACTTAATTTGGACATCATCTCATAATCTTCACCAAAAGATTTTCGAGTCTTTTGATTAAGTTTCTTTCTGTGAAACTCACCGACACTAAAATAACCACTATCAATCGTGAGGCCTAAGATAGTAATTTAGCCCATCTTGGACAAATCTAACTCCAATGCAACGTATTTTGAGCCTCAC